TACTGTGGCTGGGGAAGGGGTGCTTCCCTAAAAGAAATCCAAAGATGCTGTGCAGGTGAAACAAACACTGCCATTGGAAGTGAACTTCAGCATGACATGAATAAGACCATCTGGTCCCCTGCTCCCCATCTATTGCCCCCAAAAGAACAGTTTTTTAAAGATCAAACAGTGATACATTGACAGAAGTCTAAAACCTAAGAAAGTATTTACAACATTGACTTCATAGAATTTCTGTGAGGGTTATGTGAAATTATATATGTGAAAGGGCTTTGTTGAGCATTGCTGAATTATATTTTGATGATAATTTTCTATTCTTTGATGTCAGGCTCTGAAAAGCACGTGCCTGTGGGTGGGAGACCCCGTAAGTGCCAAGGCAGGAGTCGGAAGCCTCAGCCTATTGCCATGTAAATAATGAAGAAGAAAATAACTAGAGATATAACCATAGTAGTTATTCGTAGGTGATCTTAGTTATTCATATGTGATTTTAGTCATTCACAGGTGATTTTAGTTATTCAGAGGCGATCTTAGTTCTTTTACTAATGCCTCTCAGGTCATGAAGTGTGAACCTCGGGTGACATTGTGAAAGGAGTGACCCTAAGGCAAGACGCTTTAAGCCCTCTGTCATGCTGGTGTAAGGGCTGTGCGGCAGTGCCAGCGCTGGGAAAGCGCCCTCTGTTTAGCCAGCTAGGGAACGAGACGTCCAAAGATGGCTGAGACGTCTCATTCCTCAGGGAAGTTAGGAGAAAACTCTGCTCCTCCAAGCTCTTGTGGTAAGCCTGACAACTGTCAGGGAGGCCTGCAGACATCCAGGGGCTTCATTGTCTCTATGTGATGCTGTGCTTCAGTGGTCACGTTCCATGTCCACTCTCGTTTTCCACTTCTGCACCTGGTTCCTTTTTTCTTAGAAGAGATAATCAGTAAAAGTAATATAAATCTTAATGTGTTTTTTCTTTCTTGACAAGTATGGAAAAGTGCTGGCGCATTATGCTCCTTAACTCATCTCCGCTACCAAAAAGCCTTGGGCCCCTACCTATATGACATGTGATGTACTTGACCCTGTCACTGACCACCAATGCTATACCCTACCTCCCCTGCCCCCAGCATTGTACACAATAAAAGAGCGTCCAGGCACTTGGGGACACTGCCGGACTCCGTGCCTTGGTTGGCAGTGGACCCCTGGGCCCAAACTCTCTTTTCTCTATCTCTGTGTCTTGAGTCTTTTATTTCTAGTTTCTCATCTCCACACCAGCAGAGAGGGGCTCAAAGGACCCTGTAGGGCTGGACCGTACATGTACCTCTCACCAGCATGCCAGTTCTTAATGTTAACCTGTGCTACCTGTCCTTTGTGGGCTGGCAGGGAGTCTTTGCTCATCTGTAGTCATTTAGGGACCCAAGATGATATAGGGCAGCCACCACCACAAATATTACTTTTGCCGGCTGGGCGCTGTGGCTCGTGCCTGTAATCCCAGCACTTTGGGAGGTCGGGGTGGGCATATCACCTGAGGTCAGGAGTTCGAGGCCAGCTTGAGCAACATGGAGAAACCCCATCTCTACTAAAAATACAAAAAAATTAGCTTGGCTTAGTGGTGCATGCCTGTAATCCCAGCTACTCAGTAGGCAGAGGTAGGAAACTCACTTGAACCCAGGTAGTGGAGGTTGCCGTGAGCCAAGATCACGCCATTGCACTCCAGCATGGGAAACAAGAGCAAAACTCTGTCTCAAAAAAAAAAAAAAAAAGTTACTTTTGCCACATCAAAAACATAATTTCATGTATGGTTGACTCAGTTTCCAGTCTTATGACCTATGCATCTCATATTGTAGTGACTCAAACCTGCTGGGTTACCCAGGACTGTAATTTTTAAAAACCCATGGTGATATCTGGTTTCAGATATGACTGGATTCATATAATTCAGAAGATTTCATCAGATCATTTCTTGCTATCTCAGCACCATTTAATTCCATCTGAATTTATAGTTAATGATTTATAATTTGTTATGATAACTAACAATATCATAATGAAGGAGAGTAAAATCCTTTATTGGGGTATAACAGATGACTATTTGAAAGGGGCGTTGATCAGTGTTTCCCGGAGAGTAAGAATGCATTATATACAATGTGGACGACTCCAGGGCCCTTCCAAACGTAAGTAAGCAGACAGTTTCTGAAGCATTTATTTTAGTAATAGATCTATATAAAATTAAACTAGGGAAGGTTTCTCTTCTCTGATCTGACACCTCTTCCAATAAACAGAGCAGGCCAGGCTCGGTGGCTCAAGCCTGTAATCCCAGCACTGTGGGAGGCCGAGGCGGGTAGATCATGAGGTCGAGGGATCGAGACCATCCTGGTCAACATGGTGAAACCCCGTCTCTACTAAAAATACAAAACATTAGCTGGGCATGGTGGCACGTGCCTGTAATCCCAGTGACTCAGGAGGCTGAGGCAGGAGAATTGCGTGAACCCAGGAGGCGGAGGTTGCGGTGAGCCGAGATCGCGCCATTGCACTCCAGCCTGGGTAACAAGAGCGAAACTCCGTCTCAAAAAAAAAAAAAAACAGAGCAGCTCTTACAATCATTTGGAACTAATTAATAACTTTGGGACATACCAAACCCAAGTATTTCTTACATTTCCTGTTTCCTTACATTTTATGAGCGCCATATCATAGGCTCCAAGATAAGGGTCTGTTCTGGCTTTGTTCATTTATATGAATATATACCTGTATATTATGAAAAGCATAACACAGCACAAAGCACGAAACCATAGTTCTGAGGAGAGACAGCTCTACTATTTGGGCAGATTACACAGAAGGTAAAGAGTGATCTTTCCTTTTCTTTCTTTTATTTTTTAAAGACGGGGTTTCACCATGTTGGTCAGGCTGGTCTTGAACTCCCGACCTCAGGTGATCTGCCCGCCTTGGCCTCCAAAGTGCTTGGATTACAGGCGTGAGCCACCACACCTGGCCCTGAACTTTCCTTTTCTCTTGTTGAACAAACTATCACTTAAGCAAAGATAACGAAGTTTAATCTTTTTAAATACGATATTTTAAATTAAAGATTTCATAAAGATTTTAACGAATAAACCCCACGTTACAGTTCCCAGATGCCAGCCAGTGGCCAACCTTGTAGGCAAATCTTTCTAAAGATAGCAGGCTGGGCCTTGCTATGTTCACTTTTCTGCACAGTTTTGTTGCCATGATTGTTTTCATACAGCCTCGCAGCCACTCACATTAATCACAAATTTGCTAACCAAAGAAATTAACTGGGATCTAGATAATCAGAACTCTCTACTATAGACAGGCAACTTAGCAGACAAGCAAAACTCACAAACCCATAAAATAACCTCCTGCAGCCACACATCCCTTTTACACCTTAGCACACACATTTCCTAGCTCTGTCTACTGAAGGAGGCTAAAAGCAACAACGCCTCGGTTTCAATGAGCCCAGATCTTGGTTTCTGATATCGTTCTCTACTAAAAGGAACCAAGGCTCCTCATAAAAATGGCCGATTCCAGGTCTAAGAAAAGGAAACTCCAAGAAGATCCTGGAACATCTCAGGAAAAAAAAAAAAAAAAAAGTACTCAAAAAAAATGATGAGGGCAGGTCACAAAGACACAGGAAGTAGACCTCACTGACTAAATCTGGTACAATTTGAGCAGCAAAACATAACAATGATGAATTGTAAACCATTGAAAAAGTAGTGGTCCATGAGTTCACACTGATAATAAGTAAATAAATGAGCGATAGCAGAGGACCTTGCTTACAGCAGAATACCCGGTGCCAACGTGTAAATGCGAAGGGAATGTTGGAGCTGGAAAACTATCATTTTGTAGCCATAACACTAAAGACTGATTCAAGCAAGAATCATCAATGGATGCTAAATCTAAGGGGAAATTTTGATGAGGAATAGGATATTTGATTAGAATTCAAGTATCTTTTCCAGAGATTGCTTGTTATGATTAGCAACTGCAAAGCAAAAAATAATTATATAGTGGAAGAACTGGGAAAAACTTTGAATACGTGATCAAAATGAATATAATGAGTAAGCGGCGCAGGGACATTGTGTGCCTCAGATGTGACACCATGAGAAGGACACAACGTACGGTGTGCACTATTCTGGCTGGGAATGCGTAACTGGAATCTAATCATGAGGAAATATTTGACAAACCCCAAAATGAGGACCATTGATAGGACTGCATTTTTCCAAAGTGTTGTCACAAAAGACAAGGAAAAGCTGAATGACTGTTCCAAATTAAAAGAGTCTAAAGAATCATGACAACCAAACGCAATACAGAATCTTGGGCTAGGTCTTGTGTGAGAGAAAATCCCCCAAAGACATTATTGGTTCAATTTTTAAAAACTGGAATACAAGCAATAGAGTAGATAAAAGTATTGTATTGATGTTAAATTTACTGCAATTGATAACTATATCATGGTTATATAAAGTATTAATAGTATCCTCATTATTGAGAAATGTATATTGAAGTATTTAGAGGTAAGGAAGAGGAATGTGGGCTGGGTGCAGCGGCTCACGCCTATAATCCCAGCACTTTGGGAGGCTGAGGCAGACGGATCACCTGAGGTTGGGAGTTTGAGACCAGCCTGGCCAACATGAATAAATTCTGTCTCTGCTAAAAATACAAAATTAGCTGGGTATGGTGGCATATGCTTGTAATCCCAGATACTTGGGAGGCTGAGGCAGGAGAATCACTTGAACCTGGGAGCAGAAGTTGTGGTGAGCTTGATATCATGCCATCAGACTCCGGCCTGGGCAACAAGAGTGAAACCATGTAACCCAAGACAAAAACTAATAAAAAAAAAAAAAAAAAGAAATTTACTTTCAAATGATTCAAGAAAAATTTGTATATAGAAAGGGCAAATGATGAAACAAGCAGGATTAAATGTTAACGGTGTGTCAATCTGACTAAGAGGAACCTGGCTATCCATTTTAATTCTATTGCATTCTTAGTGTAAGTTTCAGGTTTCTTTCTTTCTCTCTCTCTTTTTTTAAAATTTGCTCTTTTAATGCATTAATAAATCCATATTATGTATTACTTTCTGGAAAAGGGTTAAACTCAAATATCTGAAGTACTTTCCATTATTATACCAGGTCAAGAAAAATACCACAGCCAGAAAATGTGTATTTAAAAACAGAAACATACATAGATTAAGCTTTAAAACAACCAACTCTCAAAAGAGGAAAGAGCCTTTGATCCCAGAGTCCACACCCAATGAATTCCATATGTGTTTGAAATTCACATAAGGAGCACATAAAAAACCACCTGAAATGTTAATCCAACAGCCCCCGTACCTGCGAGGGCTCCCGCGTCTGCCAGTGTGAGGACATGGCCAACCCCCACTGGACACTCGGGTGCCGGGAGGCACCACAATTCAGGGTGACCGGCAGTGTGCAGCTCGGTAACCGAGACAGCTGTTCACACGTGGGGGGCATTGTAAGCACTACCAGCTCTGAATCTGACATGAAGGGAACTTGGGAGAGGTCTGAGCAATGTCCAAAGGGATTCTGGCAACACAGAAGACGCAATGTCTAGGAATGCCACCAGATGCTTCCAAAAATACTCATTGACAATTCAAGTTACACTTGGCTGGCAGCAGCCTGGGCAGCCCCAAGGGTGGGCAGCCTTCAGTCCGTGTGGGGTGTGCGTGTAGCCTCCTCATAGGACTCCCCTGACTCATTCACTCTGCGTTTATCCACAGGATAAAGCCACCACTGGGACAGGTAGACCAGAAACACCAAGTGGGCATGGTGCTGATGAAGGCAAAGACATAGTCAATGAAGGTATTGAAAGCTTTGTAGGTGAAGGCCTTCCAGGGCAGATGTGCCACTGACTTCAGCTTGTAGTTCAGGAAGAGCTGGAGCAGCATGAAAAGGAAGCCGAAGGCATAGACCCCGCTGACAAAGCTGTTATTAACCAGAAGTACTAGCTCTTATACTTGATGTTCAGGAATGAATAGACAGCACCCTCCATGCAGAGAGGGTACAGCAGGTAAGACAAGTTCTTCATGGCCTGAGTATGGTACTCCTTGGTTTTCCTCTTGGATTCTCTGTAAGTGCCAACCTGAAGTTCCAGTCTCAGGCCTCTACGAGGAACAGTCATCTTCAATGCCTTCTTCACTTTCCACAGCTTCCTAGCGGCTCCCATGCCCGCTGGGACCAGCACCAGCAGGCTCCTCTTCTCTTCCAGCAGGAACAGGAAGATGACCACATGCTGAAGCAGCTCCAGAGCACTGCCCTGGTGGACATGCCAATCATGCTCTTCTTCCAGAAACTGATGTCATTTTTAAAGGCCAGGAAATCAAAGCGAAGATGGAAGGCTCAGAAGGAAAAGGTCAGCGCCAGGAAGTACAAGTTGGTATCTACAAAGATTCCTTTCACCTCATCAGCATCTTTCTCTGAAAACCCGAACTGCCGCAGGGAGTTCACGGCAACCTACATGTGGATCCAGAAGCACAGCAGCCCCAGCGAGACCTTGTCGTAGGACACCGGGAGGGGCAGCTCTGTGGGGAGCGGTTTATGACCCTCAGGCCCTTCCCGCGGTTGCCGACCTGGCGGATGAGCAGGATGGGGAGGTGGTGCACGGTCTTCTCCAGCTGGACCATCTTCATGTGCCGATGCACGTCGGCTGGCAGGGAGCGCCAGCGGAAGACGAAGTTGTCCGCCGTCGCGTTCAGCGCCAGCCGCGGTCTCCCGTGGGACAGCGGCTCATCGGCGCGCCAGTTGGCTTCTTCTCCGCCTCCATCTGCTGCTGTGTATCAGAATCCCCAGGGAGCAGGTTGATTTCTTCCTGCTTGGGGACCACGGCAGTGGTCAGAGGACTGACGGGTGCACCTGCTTCCCCTCGTGCCAAGGCAGGATCCCAGCTTGCTGGAGGAGGATGCAGGCATGCCGCCCCCCGTTATTTCTTGTTTTCTTCGGTACAGACACAGGAACCGTCCTTTCAAAGTTGGACTCCACATCGAAGTCTTCCACCTTCAAGACCAGGTCGATGCTGTTCTCAGCACCCAGGTGGGACCGCGTCGTGGGGTACACGCTCAGCTGTAGCTGGCGCCGATGCGCTATGTAGGGCTGGATGCAGCTGGCGTCGCCGGAGATAGGGCGGGTGTAGACGATGCCCTGCAGGACCCAGCAGGTGCGCACCACGCAGACCACCAGCACGCCCAGCACGAAGCTGGTGAAGGAACCGCGATCCCTCTACAAGGCGGCCCCGCGCCCGGAGCCCCCGGCCCGCCCGACTCTCAGCCGCGGGCCCCACCCGCCGAGCGCCACTCTGGGGAAGCCTCCGCCACCGCCGCCACCGCTGCGTGGGAACGAACGAGCCGCGCGCTGCTGACTGCTTGCCGCCCCGGTTTCTTTCAAATTAAAAATTAAGTGAATACATATATGGACCCAAAGTTAGACCCATTCTGTAAAAATACAAGGCAAAAATACTTCTAACACAACTATGTCAAAAGACAGTTTTTGCTATCTTACCTAAAACACGTCGCCAATGATTGATTATCCACTAATAATCTCGCCTTTTCCTTCTTTCTTTTTTCTTTCCTTTTTTTTCTTTTTTCTTTTCTTTTCTTTTTTTTTTTTTTTTTTGGGACAGTTTTTCGCTGTTGTTGTCGCCCAGGGTGGCGTCCAGTGGCAGCGATCTCGGCTCACTGCAACCTCCGCCTCCCAGGTTCAAGTGATTCTCCTGGCTTAGCTTCCTGAGTCCTGGATTACAGGCAGGCGCCACCACACCTGGCTAATTTTTATAGTTTTAATAGAGACAGGGTTTCACCGCGTTGGTCAGGCTGGTTTCGAGCTTCCGACTTCAGGCGATCCCCTCGGCCTCCCAAAATGCTGGGATTACAAGTGTGAGACATGGCACTCAGCAATAAGTTCTTTCTCAAAGATATTTCCACCTTTAGCTGACAAAATCCCAAAAATGTATATCAATAATTTATTTTTAAAAACTTCTCGAAGATCATTTAGAAAGATTATCACAATAGAAAAAGTTTAAAAAATTGCACAGACCCCTGAAAATACGATTATTTACATTTTCTTTTTTTGTTTTGTTTTGTTTTGGTTTCTTGAGATGGAGTTTCACTCAGGCTGGCGTGCAGTGGCACCATCTCGGCTCACCGCAACCTCTGCCTCCTGGGTTCAAGCGATTCTCCTGGTCAGGCTCCCAAGTAGCGGGGATTACAGGTGTGCATCAGCATGCCCAGCTAATTATTTTTTTTTTGAGACTGAGTTTTGCTCTTGTCCCCCAGGCTGGAGTGCAATGGTGCTCTCAGCTCACTGCAGCATCCACCTCCCGGGGTCAAGCAATTCTCCTGCCTCAACCTCCCGAGTAGCTGGGATTACAGGTGCCTGCCACCACTACCTGCTAATTTTTTTGTATTTTTAGTAAAGACGGGTTTTGTCATGTTAGCCAGGTTGATCTCAAACTCCTGACCTCAAGTGATCTGCCCACCTCGGCCTCCCAAACTGCTGGGATTACAAGCATGAGCCACTGTGCTCAGCCTGATTATATACATATTTCAATAAACATATATGAAAATGGTCTCAGGCCTTTTAATATTTAGAAGACCAAAACAAATAAAAATAACATTACCCACTATCCAGAATATATCAAAGATAGACTGACAAAGCCAGGTGTTGGAAAGGACATCTAATTAGAATGCTCTTAAACTTGTGGTTGGGTTGTATATTAGTGAAAAAAAATTTGGAATTAAAAAAATTTAATTGATAAATTGTATGTATTTCTGGTGCACCTCATTTTATATATATGCACACATACACACACACACATTGTAGAATAGTGAAATCTGTGTGTGTGTGTGTGTGTGTGTGTGTGTATCCACAGACATACATTGCAGAATGGCTGAATCAAGCTATGTAGCATATCACTTACCTTAGATACTTAACATTTTTTGTGTGGTGAAAACATTTAAAATCTGCTGTCTTAGCGATTTCAAGCATTACCGCAGTGTTATTAACTAGAGTCAACATGTGCAATAGAGCTCTTGAGCTTTTTCCTCCTAGCTGAAATTTTTGGTGACGTGCATTGCATTTGAACATAGGCAGTTACTATGACCAAGCTATTTTATTTGTAGGTCTGCACTTAATTAAAATATCTATATATGTGTACCAAAAGAAATTAACAAGTATGTTTGTAGTGGCTTTGTTGCTAATAGCCCCAAGCTGGAAACAAACCAGTGTCCATCAGCAGTAGAATTGAGACGTGCTGTATTCACGCAGAGCTCCACCGAGCAGGGAAAAGAAATGAACTGCCTCATGAAAGCACATGAGGGAGCGTCACAAATGTGATGCTGGGCCAAAGAAGCCACACACACAACTATTCCTACTGAATGGCCCTCCGTGAATCCATTCATGACACAGGCAGCACTAATTGGGGCTGCTAAAAACCAGGTGATTATTTGCTTTGGCAAGACAGATGGGCAGTGGTTAGGGAGCAGACCTTCAGGAGAAGGATTTCCAGATTGTTATTTTTATTTCATTTTCTTGGACTGTGTGGTAGGTCCAAACATGGATTCTCTTTGAGATAAATCACTGAGTAGTAGAATACTAGGATTATTGTACATTATACTATAGTATACTTTAGTAAATGTATTTGAATTCGTTTTTGCCATCAGAACAAATAATATACATCACAATACATCTTTGCAATTTTAATATTATTTCTGGTTGATAAAAAATAAGTTACCCAAAGGATTCCAAACTTGGGTATTTCAATATAGAACTTATGTGTGCAAATACATATTTCTGGAGATCCACAACTATGTAATGTCATTAGAGTATGAAAAAGCACAGTTATGTTTACAATTTGCTGACTCTCTAACCTTTTACTTTAAGTTAAGCTAAAGCGGCCGGGCGCGGTGGCTCACGCCTGTAATCCCAGCACTTTGGGAGGCCGAGGCGGGTGGATCACGAGGTCAAGAGATCGAGACCATCCTGGTCCACATGGTGAAACCCCGTCTCTACTAAAAATACAAAAAATCAGCTGGGCATGGTGGTGCTTGCCTGTAATCCCAGTTACTCAGGAGGCTGAGACAGGAGAATTGCCTGAACCCAGGAGGCGGAGGTTGCGGTGAGCCGAGATCGCGCCATTGTACTCCAGCCTGGGTAACAAGAGTGAAACTCCATTTAAAAAAAAAAAAAAAAAAAAAAGTTAAGCTAAAGCACTGCAGAGGGCTGCTGGGAGGAGGAGGTGAGCAGGTGTGTGGAATCCAGCCCTGACTCACACACCTAGCACTTTACAGCCTAGGTAAGTCCCCTACTAGGGAGGGGGCCTGCCCTTTGCCCTTTGCCCCTAACCCTCAACCTTCTGCCCCACATCCCCATTTGCAATTCCAGAAGCGCCCTGGATGGGGAGGTCTGAAGTTAGGGAGCACCTGTGAATGCTCTTATAATGGCCATGGGTCCCAAGGTGGGAGACAGTGGCAAGGGTGACCTGGTGTCCTGGGTGCTCATGTGAGTGGGGCAGCCGGGCCCAGCCAGAACAGTGACACACACATGCACATATGTGTTCACCCACATACACGTGCATGCTGACATGCACAAACACTGCATACGCACATGTTGACACTTCAAGGGGTGGAGGGCACTGACTCTGGGCCCTGCTGATCCAGGCAGGGGCCCATTGTGATGGGTGTCATGACCTCACAGTGTCACTGGTGCTGAGCACTCACCCACCTGCCTGCCTGCCCTCTCTATGTCAGAGCTCTTGGAGACAAGACATAGAGGTGTCTGGTTCTGCAAAGAAATTTTCCCAGTGAAGTTCCTCTGTAAATTACTGTCTTCCTCTAACTGATCCTAGCTTTGAAACTGCATTCCATATTATATGGTGCTTTTGTTCATCTGAGGCTCCTCCAGTCTTAATCCATATGGGCAGAGTGTTTTTTTCTTCTGCCTGTGGGAGTATGTTTACCCAAAATCTGATGTCCAAACCCTGTATCTTTTTGAGAATTGGGCAATTGCAGAGTTGAAGGCATTGACAGCTTGGAGGTCAATTATAATTTCTGACACTGGTGAGAAAAAATTTCATTAATATTTTGCTTCTTTTCCTCAGGCCTACACTTTAGTGACATGTTCCTTTGTTTGTTTGTTTGTTTGTTTTGTTTTGAGACAGAATCTCACTCTGTCTCCCAGGCTGAAGTGCAGTGGTGCAATATTGGCTCACTGCAACCTCTGCCTCCTGGGTTCAAGCCATTCTCCTGCCTCAGCCTCCCAAGTAGCTGAGATTACAGGTGTGAGCCATCATGGCTGGCTAACGTTTGTACTTTTAGTAGAGACGGGGTTTCATCATGTTGGCCAGGCTGGTCTCGAACTCCTGACCTCAGGTGATCACCTGCCTTGGCCTCCGAAAGTGCTGGGATAAGGGCATGAGCCTCCTTGTCCAGTCTTCAGTGACGTGTTCTGACCACAACTCCAAATCCTTTTGTTTAGTCCCAGTCCTGTACCCCCTGAGAATGTCAATGTCTCTAGTTTCTGGTAGCAGGTGATCTTAACCAGAGGTTTCAGAGTGTGCCTTTGTGCACCTAAATCAGCCTCCAGGAAATCTTATCTCAGCAGAAGGAATAGAATGGAGCCAGATTAATTTCAAGCACATCACATACACTTCCTGAGATTCTACCCTCTTACTAAATGGGATGTTTCTAGAGCCTGGTAAACACCAAATGTTGAGGTCTTCTGCCACCAATTACCTCACCAGGGAATTGCTCAGGCTCAGTGGCTCTATGAAGTTCATGGAATGATCTATGTGCAGCTTACTTACTGCTTATTGAATGTCTAAACATTCCATTTGAGATTGTGCACCCATTCGTTCCTCGAAGGCTATACGGCTGATTTCAGTGTAGTTACACAACTTTTTTTTTTTTTTTTTTTGAGACAGGGTCTCTCTGTGTCACCCAGGCTGGAGTGCAGCATCACAATCTCAGCTCCTTGCAACCTCCACCTCCCGGATTCAAGTGATTCTCGTGCCTCAGCATCCCGAGTGGCCAGGATTACATGTCTGTGCCACCACGCCCTGGAAATTTTTGTATTTTTAATAGAGACAGACTTTCACCATGTTGGCCAGCCTGACCTCAAATTCCTGGCCTCAGGTGATCCACCTACCTCAGCCTCCCAAAGTGCTGGGATTACAGGTATGAGCCACTGCACCCAGTTGAAACATGTGTTTTTATGATCCTCGTACT